GCTTTTTGTTTATTCTGGTACTCTATTGAAAATTCACCACTGCTGAAAACGTGTTTTTCTCTAGATTATTTTTATTTGTAGATTATTTATAAGATTATTAAAACTTTATTATATTGGATTTTTATAATATTATATCAATACAGCTGACTCTTCATAAATGCAAGTTGAAGGGGGTGGTCGTGTGAGGAGCTTTTCCGCTTTTAGAGCTTTTTGACATTTTTAGTTGAAAAAGCTGTTTACCAACTAAATGGTCGTTTAATGCATGTAGATGTTTTATAAATATGAATGCTATGCAATCTTGGATTATAAAGTTAAATTTTGCATGGTTTGAACATTTTTAAATATCAACTACAAAGATTCACATACAAAAGTGTCGAAATGTTTGCAAAAAAAGTACTATTTTGACAATGAATCACAATTTAGTTGGATATAACTTTAAAAACAAAGCGTTTATCGATATTTTCTTAAGTTTGTGACATAAAAAATTATCTATGAATGTTCAACATTCTTTGATAATAATCTTACTTAAATAATTTTTCTTTTCATTTATATGCAACATATTATTTATTTTAATCGTTTCTTATTGATATTTTTGCAAAAAGAATTTTCATTAACTCGTTGTAGCCTGCTTTTTTCTTTCATGTGCATCTGTGGAGAGTATTTGCAATACAAGTGTACATGGTCAATAGAGAGCTTGCTTGATTAGAAATTTTCTGCTTTTGGAGAGTAAATTGTTCTCAAATGTGAGTGTCTCGCAATTTGTGGAGCTTTTCTCTTCAGAGAACTTGCATTTATGAAGAGTCACCTGTATATTGATTCCATAGAAATCAGGACAAATTAGTTTTTAACCTTTTTTTATAAATCATAAAAAAAAATCAATTTAAAATTAATAAAACTATTCCCTAAAGATACTCATTAAATTGTTGAATCTAAATTTGTTTGCTTCAATTTTTTATGAAGAAAGAGATGTAAAGAATTTGTTATGAATAACAAGAAAGTAAGCAGCATTGAATGATATTTCCTCTCATCACATTGCCCATTTATTTATCAAGTAAGCGTTTACCGGTTACTTTTGCATAATTTATTGTCTTAACTTTACACAATCAGTCGTTTGATGAAGGTTTCAATATTCATTAGTATGCTGAGTTGACGGTTGAGAGTCATATAGAAAAAGCCTTGGAAAAAGCAATATGAAAGAGTAGCTCAAGAGAATATCAAGTTTGTAAAGTATGAGACAATAAATCATGAGTTCATTGGGCTAAAGAGTAAAAAAAAATTAAAATGTGTTGAAGTGAAATGACACTTAGGTATTCCTTCAAAATCCTAATTTCTTTTTTATTTTTAGAAAGTAAAGAAAACAGTTGAAATATCAACTTTTCACTTAACAATGAAATCACCAAAATATCCTAAAAAGGTAAACACGGTCTACAAACTTTTAGATAATCCCAAAGAGAATGAGAGTGTTAAATGAAAAGTGAAAATGAAAGCTCAAGTCAGAAAGCGGAAAAGCTTACATAGATATTTATCTACATCATCTGGATATTTATGAATGAGGAGCTCGTTCTTGTTTCTCTCCCATAATAAAACTCCCGAAGCTATGGTTAAATCTCAACGACGCATGCCTCAAAAAACTTTCCTAGCGAGCGACGAAAATTTTCCTCGGACTTTTTCTCAGTTACAGACGTTTGCTAGATATCGAAACATGTTCAATTGAAGTTATCTGATCTCATAAGTAGTTTTTTCCTTGAAAGTGATACTTGTTGGTTCAATTACTGAAAAATTTAAATAAAAAAAATCATTAGATTGAGAAAATCGGAAAGCAATTAAATCTTCCCATTCTCCTTATAAAACATTTACATATTTTTTTTTGAAAAGAAAAACAAAAAAGTTTTGATTGACGATTTGTCAGGTGAGTTATCTTGAACAATTTAAGATTCTTACCGTACGTGGCCATAAAAAACAAATGGTATTCAATTTCAACGTAATTCTTTTAACATTAGAGATTTGTGAAAAGTCGAGTTAGAAGCATAACTGAAATAAAAAATCACCCTACATTGTGGATCTTTGTATAGCGAAAGAAATTGTGAAAAAGGGAAATTGTCGTTGAGAAAAAAATTTACTCGCCTTTTTCTGTTTCCATCTAAACCTGGATATATTGAATGGGTGAATAGTGTCTACCTCACTTCATTTTTGCTAAACAAGAACGTAAAGTAAATTTCCTTGAAGAGCGAGGAGATAAGAAAATATAAAAACACATAAACATATAAAGTAAATGTTTGACATTTTAAGTCTGGTAAAATTGAGTTTTCAAAAAATTAGGAATGATATTAACTTAACGATGTATAAATATCAGATCTAAGCAATTGATTGGTTTTCCTTGAAGAAGACGAAGCCTTTAAAGGATTATAAAAAGATAAAATTATGCTGTCGTCATACTTGCATTATTGTTCGTTTGCGTAAAATTTAAAGGCTCCAGCCAGATGTGACGGTTAAAATTTTACAATCATCTCATCTTTTTTTATTTCTATGACAGTTTTTTCACCCAATATACTCATAACTTGCAATGATAAAATCCGAAAGGAGATTCAAGCGACAAAGGATATTGTTTCATGACGTTTGCTGATAACTTTTTCTCTAAATGATGTTTGTTGATTAAAGAGATTATCTTTGCACAAATAATACTCACAGCAGAGACATTTAAATAAAATGGGATGAATGAAAATAAACATAGGTAATTTATTGCTTGGACACAAATCAAACGGAAATAGACGATAATAAGAATTTTCAATTATAAAGTTTTTAACTTTGACATTCTCATTTTCCCTCTCGACTTTTTCAGCGTGGAGAAGGAAATCTGAATTTAAATTTCCATAAATAATGAAAACAGTGATTCAAAATACTTTTTTACTTTTTTAATGTAACTTACCCTTGATATTAATGCTTTAAGACCTTAAGCTAATGATGATGCGTTTTTAGCTGCATTATCAGATACTGAATCTTTTCTCAGTTTAAATCTATAGTTACAAAACCTCTGATTTAACTTATGTTACATGCAGTGAAGTGATAAAAACCAAAAACTTAGGCTAACGCCGAGGCTTTGTAGATGACGGACGATTCGTTCCCTTTTTTGTTGATGTTATCGTTGCAAATAATTTTGAATTTGTTTTTTTTATATCTGCATATCTAATAACAAATAACAAATTTAAGGACATACCCACACAAACTTTGATTGTATTTTAATCAATGTTAAGTGCTAAATTTTTCTCGCGTATCTTTTTCTCAAAGGATTTTTTAATTTGTCGTTTTACTTAATATTTTATTCAAAAACTGACAAGAATATAAAGCGGAGAGGAAAAGGTTGAATTTTGAAATTTTGAATACACTTATGATGACTCTATCTTGAACATTGGTGTTTAAAAGCTTAAATTAATGTTTATCCGAAGAGGGATGTAAAGTCATCGTCAGTAAGAGAGAGTACATGAAAATTGTTTGAACAAATTGAAAGCAATTTTTATTCTCTCTGCTTCTTCGTCTTCAGTTTCTTCACATTATTCCACATTTAAAGAAAAATATTTTCTTATTCATCTCACAGATAATTTACGCTATCTATCGTGTAAAATTGTTTAGCTTCGAGGCAAACGATATAAAGGTTCAGACAAAAGACGATAAAGAGATAAGAAGTTAAGATGGATTCAGCTACAATCAAGCGAGTTGGAATTGAAAAAGCTCAAAACTTTATGCGTCAATATCGTGATCCTGAATCACGTGAATTGAGGAAGTTGTCAGCTAATCAATTTATGGATGTTTGGAGCCATTATGATAAAGACGGTAAGTAAATTACCTTCTGTCCTACTGTTCTTCATTCGAGTTACGACCCTACATTGAATTTTTTTTTAATAAAACTCTTTTCCCATATTTTGTCGTTTTGAGGATTTTAAAATGTAATAAAGACAAATATAAAATTATTTTCATCTTTATATATTGTCTCTGATTCAGTTCCATTTCAACTCAACAACGGATTGTTGTTTGCTTCAGTCATGATTACAACAAAATATAATAAGAAAATAAAACATTAAATAGATATAAAATATATTCTTTTAAATTTATCTCGTAGTATGATAGGATCTATTTTCTATTATAATTACTCATATATATCTGTCTTTTTTTTCTTTTTTTACATTGATTCTCGACTTATAAACGACTCTATTTGAGTAGAACAGCTTTTCAGATAGATACATACAAGAAAGGTCAATTTTCTGTCTCATGTACTCTGAAATTGACGACCGTTTCAAACAAAAAATTAAGATACCAGTAAAATTTTTTGTGTGATAAATTTGAAGAACGAAAAGAATAATAGAAATTCAAAACATGTGCTTGCTTATGGGAAATGATCGTTCCACTTAATTTTATATTAATGGTTCCCATCAGTGCTCCCAAAATCAACCTAAATGAAAGAAGTTCTCATTAAATTTCGACATCATACAGTGAGAAGCTTTTTTCAGCCTTTTATTTTCATCACATGCCATTCCTAGCTATGTTTACTGAGCGCGTTTCATTTTGTTTTAAATGAAATAATAGTAAGCTTCTTTCATTAAACACAACATGGATGCATACATATATTCTCTTTAAATAATTTTCATTATTTACATAATTTCCTTATTTCCTAACAAAGTGTCGTAATAAAACATGAGAAAATAACAAAAATTAAAGTCTTTGAGTAATCTCAAATATTTTTTCTCTTCATTTTCCTAGGAAATGGATTTATTGAAGGCACGGAACTTGATGGATTCTTAAGGGAATTTGTTTCCAGCGCAAACCCAACTGAAGTAAACTCAGAGGTGAATTTTTCTTATGTTTTTCACCAGTTAATTTATACCTGGTATAAAATCCGCACACATATCAAATCACGCCATAATGGTTAAATCTTTACAAACAATAGGTCAGAACGTGAACTCCCAAACGTTTTCCTTTTATTGCGGGGAATAAGAATGAAGCTTCGTCCATACATCATCTAAGCGCTTTGAGTTTAATTTAATGATACAGTCGAGCTACTATATAACAAAAATCTCATTGATTATTCAAATTATAACATTACCGCCTTAAAAAATCTATAAAAACATTATACCAACAATTCTATATGATATCTCAATAGTACTCGGTTTTAGCGGCGATTAAAAATAAAAATTTTGTTTGCTGATAAGTTAAAAACAAGCAAATGAGAAACGAATATTCCACCCACATAAATGCAGATGAATACTGGGACGAAAAACAAATATCTAAGCTTAAAAATGCAAGTTGGTTTAAGGAAGATATTTCGGTAACTTTTATTTGTAAGCTTTAATTTGTGTTGTCTTTACATTTACACCGTTGAGCTGCATTTATTATGAGAATAATATTTTTCTTAGAATTCTAGAAATACTTACTTAGATATAAATAGATATAATTACTTGATTTTGTTTTTGTGTGCATAAAAACCCATGAATTTTGTTTAGGCAGTTAAACTTTCACTTAAGAAAGGTTTGAAAAAAATTCTTATACCCACTTTTATGTACCTTTCATTTTCATCCATCACAGAAAACCTCAAGACTTCCTCACGTGTACATTTATTTATTGCTGGCTTGGTCTGATACTTAAACAAATATGTTTCTGATTTCATGAGATGTTGTAATTTTATGTTTAATTAATATTTTTTTTTCTTTCTTAGTGTGGAATACGAAACAAAACAAATACCATTAATAACAATAGTAGCAAAAAGAAAAAAAATTAGGTTGTGAAAAAATCCACAGTTGAGATCATTCACTCATAAAACAAAATAATAAGTTTAATTTTCCGATGTTTTGTTAGCTCGTATTACGCAATAAAGCTAAATAATTGCTATGCAGATAACTGAAGGGATTTTTGTAAATAACAAAAGATTGCTATCCTATGACCTCATATTTCAGTTCTGTTGATGATCCTATCCGTTACTTTTAGAATAAATTCTTTCTTTTTACTCCCGTTTCACACCCATTTTTAATATCCATCCAATCAGAATCAAAAAAGTTGCTGTTGGCCATCTCTCATCAATTGTGTAGAGACATTGAGGGAAAGGGAAATAAATTTATGAAGACAAAAATTGACCCCAACAAGGAGCATTTGAAATAATTCTTTAAGAACTCTCTAGTCAAATTTCTCTGAAATTTAATGGAACAAGTATCTATCTAAATAATTTTTCTTACTTTCCGATCATTCATTCACTCAAATTTCTGCCTAAAATGCTGAATCGTGTCTTCTCTCGACTTCTCCGTCATCAATATCAGCTCCAACCTTGAAAATATGTTTCAATTCATTTCCATTCAGTAACTTTTTTTTTTCATGTTTATATTTACATTGAAAAGAACTAGCTCGCGATTGAATGGTGTGGGAGGCTTATGAACGATCAATAAAAGAGGGCGAATAAATATTTAATTGATGCTTTTTTCTACGAACTTTTACTGTATGCTTCTTAATGGAAATACTTTTATGCTTAACAGTATCATCCGTTATAAATACTTAACTACACATTTAATATGTCAGATTCGGTGTTCATTAAATATGACGCCTAGTCGCTGAGACTACTGCTTTTCAGAGGAACATTTTATAGTAAATATTATATTACAAAACATTTTTCTGATTTTTATAGCTATAGGTATGGATGCCAATATACGAGTTTACAATCTTAAGGAACAACTTACAAATTGTAAGAAACAAGCTCATAAAAGAATTAAAGAAGGTTTACTTTAACAATTTCATTCAAGAATATAAAAAAATATAAAATAAGAGAATATCTTGGATAAGAATTTCAAAGCTTCTCGTTTCTCTTTTTATTTTTGTTCCAACAACTGTTCAGCTTATTTCATAGCGTGTCACTTATACTATCGTTACATTGAACAGTTTATTCCTTTTTATATTTCTTTGAGATGCGGAATGTCCCTCATATTCCAAGATTCTTGTCCTCTAGTCCATCACATCACATTTGTGACTACATTGTCTTTACCATGCTCCCAATATCTCAAAGTTAGCTTTCGTTCTCAATTTTCTTCTTCCACAAACCGCATTCCCCTAAATCCTCCTTCACTTTTCTTAAGCTGAGATATAACTTATGGTGTACACGTTGGGAAAGCATAAATGGTATCATTATTTTTCAAATAGTTATCATCTCTCATTTGTCACAGACGGTAAAGGCAGAAAGAAAAATTTGAACAAAAAGTAAATGAAGAACTTCACCAAATACTTCTTTAATTCTTGTTCCGTTTCGAGAGCTTTAAGCATATTTGTTTTGATGATGATATTGAATATCTTTTGATGTAGTTTAAACATGAACATTTGGTTCGTTCGAAACACTTCTTTGGGATATTGCCAAAAATTTTTCCTAAAAACTTTATTTTTTCATTTCAATTCACAGTTGAATGCTCACAATGTTATGCGGAAATCTATCACTATCAGAAGAGCAATTTTTGCTATGTTTGTGACCACCAAATGATTTTCGCTTCAATTTTCAACTATGTATAAATAAAAATTAAGTTGTAATTCTTGGTGAGAAAAGTGCGTTCACCATATGAACGAAATAAAATTGAATCCATAAAATATTATTTATGTACACAATAAATTATGCTTTTTTTCTGATCAAATGTTTTGTGCTTAAAAGGGAAAGAGTTTGTTTTAAAGAATTGAAGCACAATGCGTAGGAAAAAGGTTATTGAAAAAAGGGTGGAAACGGGTAATGAACGTCTTCATAAATATGTTATGTCTACTGTTGTTCTCCCTGCTGTATGCATCAAACGATATTCGTTTTAAATTTTCAATAAATCCTTGTCATTGAACGCGTTACAATGGGAGTTTTAAAACATTGAAGATAAAAACAAAGCCTTAACTATTACTCACGAAGATACAACTTTATTTTTCTACATGAATTTATCTTGGAATGAATGATGTTTTTTCTTTCATTCATAGAAGAGTATTCTTTTTTTAACATTATAAGATAAATGAAAGAAAAAAGAGAACAATATAAAAGACACCGACTACCTATATAGAGAATAAACGAAACTGAATCTTGAGAAAATATACAATTGAGCAATCGTTTCGCAATGAAAAAGAAAACAAAAATTTGAAATAAAATTAGTCTTGTGTTTTTGGAGAATTATACTTGTTGTTGTTGGTAGAAGAAGCTGCAGCTGTGACTGATCAATGATTTCTTAAAGCAAAAAGAAAAAAGACAAGACTCTTGGAAAAACAGACTAAATGACCATGAAAGTGAAAAAAAAATGCTTTTTCGTTTCGTTCCCTTTTAGAATTAGTTTTGTTTTCACAATTTTTGCGACTTCCTAGAGAGAATAAAAGAAATCCAAATTGCCGAAACGTGAAGACGCAAATAAACTATTAGCGACTATACTCGCGCCATTAAATACAAGTATGAAAGAAGGAAAAGCTACTCCTAATGAGAGCAAAATTGTTTATTTAAATTTAAAATTTTAATGTAAAACTAGGAAAAGAGGATTGTGAAGAGGATGAATAAATAAATTATTTAAATATAAAATACTGAGAAACCAATTAAATTAGGTATGTGATGAAAAAGTTGGAGAGTATCATCACGATTTATTTATGATAAATACTAGGAACATTTTTGTAATGTCTCATGGCTTTATATTTAATGGTTTGTGAACATGTTTTGAGATTTATGATAGGATTTTGTGAAGATGAGGCAAATAAGGAGAATAAAAATGACTGCTAAAGCATCGTCATTGCTTTTTCAAATATTAGTGATTATGGTATGAATTGATTTTCTTTCCTTTTTACTGTAAATTTTCTTTTGAATTATTTCTTTCGAGTAAATTTTAATAACAAAAAATCTTTAAAAGTGCACGACATCTTTAAATCAAAAGGCGAAAATATATCTAAATGGAAGATTAAATATCAACCGGAAGAAAAAGAAATATGTTTGACTCAAAGTTTATCAACTGTATTAATCCTTCCCACTCAAATCGGAAATGTTTTTATGGTGCTCTGAAATCCATCCAAAAGTTTGATTGTAAATATCTAAAGTGGGGATCAGAGTTGCTTTAAACACTAAATACAAAAAATAGTGTTTCGACAATTTTTTTTCTTGTCATAAACCATTAGATATGTAGTGGAATAAATGAAATTCAATTATATACGTGAAGCTCTAAAGTATAGTTACGTAATTATTCTTCAAATATTAACTTCAATCTTCTTTAAGAAAAGTCGTGTTGATAAAATTGAGCTCAACATAATTTCTGAACGAAGCTGAACTTACTTTGAAGCCAGAAAGCGTCATTAACACTTTGGAAATATATTTATCAGAGGGAAATCCTCTTTTTCTTGCTCAAACAATTTTTCATTAAGAAGAAGCATGAAATTTAATTATGCAACATAATGAAGAATTAATTAACAGTTTTTTGCCTTTATTTTTGGGTGCTGACAATTCAACCGTCGTCAATTTACAACAATATAAAAATGAACAAAAACGAAGAAAACTAAACAGATTTTACTATTTTCCATAGGCTCTGACTGACGAGATGTTGACGGAATTAAAATCGTGCTTCCTTGAAGCTTACGACGATAATCAAGATGGCAAAATTGATATTCGTGAACTTGCCCAACTCTTACCAATGGAAGAAAACTTTCTATTATTGTTTCGCTTTGATAATCCACTTGATTCTAGTGTTGAATTCATGAAGATTTGGCGTGAATACGATTCAGATAACAGCGGTTACATCGAAGCTGACGAGTTGAAGGTAGTTTTTTACATTGATTTGTATTGTTTATACACAAAGAAGAATTAAGTGGCTTTTTTCAGACTTTATGAAGAAAAACAGTTTTTTGCTTATTTCCTTTCGACCGACTAGTTTCGGATTTTTAATACAAATCCATCATCAGGGTTTTCTACAATATCATTTAAACTGGCTCAATGGATTATTCTTACTTTAAATATAATAAAAACTTACAAGTACAAATTAAAAAACTTTGTCAAAGAACATTAAAAATAGTCAAAAATTAAAATGAAAAACAACTGACATCCTTTAACATCGACAACAAATTAAAAACTGATGATGATAAGCACACAAATGAAGGAAGACTTTCACGTTCTCATTTTCTCTTTTTTCCTCTTATCTGTAATAGTCCGTTGTATATGTGACTCAATCCTAATGTATCAGTTCTTCGATTGACCGTATCATTGTTAATTATATGTAACATTTCGAGGACATTAAGTTGCGCTCTATTGTTGGTTTGATCGAAAATTTTGACATTCTCAAAATCAAAAATATGTCCCGTGTTTGCTACATGTTCAACCAAAGCTGATTTACTGGTCGCTTCTTTGATGTTTGTCTCATTTCTTATGCCAGTATTCAAGAGTTTGTTTAGAGTGTTGTAATCAGTCTTGTGTCTATTAATGTCCTCGAAATGTTACATATAATTAACAATGATACGGTCAATCGAAGAACTGATACATTAGGATTGAGTCACATATACAACGGACTATTACAGATAAGAGGAAAAAAGAGAAAATGAGAACGTGAAAGTCTTCCTTCATTTGTGTGCTTATCATCATCAGTTTTTAATTTGTTGTCGATGTTAAAGGATGTCAGTTGTTTTTCATTTTAATTTTTGACTATTTTTAATGTTCTTTGACAAAGTTTTTTAATTTGTACTTGTAAGTTTTTATTATATTTAAAGTAAGAATAATCCATTGAGCCAGTTTAAATGATATTGTAGAAAACCCTGATGATGGATTTGTATTAAAAATCCGAAACTAGTCGGTCGAAAGGAAATAAGCAAAAAACTGTTTTTCTTCATAAAGTCTGAAAAAAGCCACTTAATTCTTCAAATATCTTATCAGACGTTAAATCAAATAATTATAATTTATACACAAATGACAATTTTATTTCTCTTCAAAGAATTTTCTTCGGGATCTATTGAAAGAAGCGAAACGAAATAACGACGTTTCAGAGAATAAACTCATCGAGTACACTGATATTATGGTAAGTTGATTTTTCGTTTTTATGTCTTTATGACTGTCATCCTCATTAAATTGATGAATCATAGAAAATTACGGTCATATTTACCTATAAATCAGCTGCCACCAGTCACAAAGTATACATGAATGCATGAGCAAACATTGAAGGAGTCAATCTTTATAAGGGCAATTTTCCAAATGATATCTCGTTTCAATGTAATGCATGAATTCAGAGAAAACCGATAAAATGTCGAGTCGACCATTGAAACATTACATATCGAATAACAAATTATAGCATAAATCTTTATTCCTATCGACTTCTCCATTCGTTACGTCGAACTTTTCCGATTTGATATGACCACATACATTGGGAAATCAAATAATATAAAATCTAATGAAATTTATTTAATCTTCTTATTTGGTCGTCTTCAACAGCTACAAGTGTTTGATGCTAACAAGGACGGTAGACTTCAATTAAGCGAAATGGCTAAGTAAGTGATTACGATAATATAGCATATCATTGAGGATGGAATACAATTGAGATCAACATTTCTTATCAATTAAAACAGACTGTGCACGATAAAAATAATATCAAATATCAATTTGAGTCGTTGTCAATCCTCAGCACGAGTCGCGCTTAGAGAGAATGTTTCATGCTTTACGATCTCAGTATTTCTTTTAAGTACTCACCCTTAGGCGTACTAAATCAAATCAATATTTAATTCTCTTGCTGTTTCCACTTTCTTTTCATATCGGAAAATCCTTGGTAACCTCCTGACTTCAATATGTTCTTCTCTCAATGAAAAACATTATCCGCCAACGATAACAGATTGCTTCCAGTCAGGGAAAATTTCCTTTGTCGGCAGGTATTTAAGGTAAGTTTTTGTATCTATTTATATTAATATTTTTCATCTGGTTTGTGAATAAATTTAATTAATATGAACATTATGTCAATGACATGAATATATATTTTAATAATTCTTTCTCCTTACATACAAAAAAGGGTGCTAAAACTCTAACAAAGGAAGACATCGAGAGCGTATTTTCATTATACGATAGGGTGAGTAGATTTTTAAGGTATTTCTTAACTAAGAACAGAACTTTTTCTTCCTTACAAACTCAAGATCTGTAAAGTGTTTTGACTCAACCAAGATGTTGAAAGAAATGAGAAAATTACAGAGATTTTAAATATTTTTATTTATACATAGATCTAATTAATGCTACCCTAAATTTTAGGTTTTGAACTCTTCTAAGTGCTAAGTGCAACACAATAAAACTTCCATAACTTTGCTATTTACTTGAATGAGCGTTATCAAGGGCATCATAAAAAATCATGACAAACTGTAATCTCACATTTTGGAAACTTGATAAACTATAAAACAATTCCGCTCTATTCAAAAGCAAAAAGTTTTTCTCCTTCTACTTCTTCTTCATGTTAAGTAAGTTGAAGTCATTAAACTTGGCACCCCGGAAGAAATGGATTGCTAAAAGCAATTTATATTGCAAATAAAATTATCGTTCTGGCATGATTCCAATAGTATTACTTAATAGGTGGAAGCAGTGAGTGTTGCGCTTCAAAAACTTTCTATTTTCCATTCGCTGTTGCTTTAATATCCTTTTTTGATGAAAACCAAATATAAGAAGTGGAAAATTTCAAATAATTATAATTTATTCATGAATGAAACTGATGGGTGTGCGTTGAATTTGCGTGGAAATTAATTTGAGGAAATTCTTTCCTTTTTTCTTTCCTTCTTTTTTTACTTCCAATCATTTTCCGATATTAAAAAGGATAATAATGGATCCATTGAGAACGAAGAGCTGCGAGGATTTCTCAAAGACTTATTGGAACTTGCTAAAAAGGTAAATTTCCTTCATACGATTATACGGAAAAAAAACGAAATTCATTGAAGTCATTGTGAGATTTCATGAGCGTAAATTAAATTACACAAGAGAGCGTTTACTTATATAAATAAATTTTTCTTTCCTTTTTTATATTTTTGTATTTCACAACTGGTAATACATTATCAACCTACTTAACATCTGCCTGATGTAGGATTATGATGCTCAAGATCTTAAAGACTTCGAAGAAACAATTCTACAAGGTGTTGGATATGACAAGGAAGGAAAAATATCGCGGAAAGAGCTAACCATGATTCTTCTGACGCTGGCTAAAATGCCCTCCAGTGAACAATAAATTCTTCATTGACTTTTCGATTGAGCGATTGAGTGAGAATTAGAAAAGCGCAAAAAAATCTTCTTACTCGCATTTTTTTTCTAAAAACTCTTTTAAACTTTATACATTTAACAACTTGAAATTGCTATCGTTAAACTTTATAAATACGTGTAAGCACCAACTCGCCTATATCATACTCAAATGTAATGTTTCTTCTATTTGCTTCCAATTGTAAGAAAAAAAAGAGAAAATTTAGTGAAAAAAAGCAAACGTAAGGAAAAGGTTACGGGAATGTGATGGTTACTAGTGAATGAAAGGTTTGAATCTCATTTTTTCGATGTTGAACATACTAAATAGAAACTTTTGCATTTACTTGATAATGTTCAAGCTGTTGTTGATGTCTTGCAGGTTTCTCAAGCAAACTTTTTGTCTTTTCTTATTTGTGAGGAGAAAGGATTCTCTCAAGGGTTTTTTGTTCACATTATTAGATGTTTTTTATTCATACTTCCAAATAATCCTCCCCATAACTTTGTGAACATTCATAGGCACACAAAAACTTTTTGCTAACATTCAATAAAAGGTAAAACAAATTTCTTTTTAATTGAATTTAATGACTTTCGAAACACCAAGAGATTTAATAAGATATTCAAAATTTAATTGTAAGAAGGTTGTAAATTGAATGTTTATTGTGTAAAGCATACAAATATGTAGGTGTGAAACACTTAAAGGTTGTAAAGAGATGTTGTCGACATCGACCTTGATTTTCCCGTGTTATATTTAAAAATTATCACAGTAAACTTATTTTACCACCCAAATTTTTAGATGGTAAATAGATGATGCCGATAGGGACAAGAGGCTTCAGCATCGAAAGAACTTTTTTTTTTGTCTTTCATGCATATTTTTTTTCATCATGAAACATTCATGAACAATGAAAAGGTAAATGAGAAACACAAAAACATTTTCTTGAAGAAAGGACATTAGATACAGATTGGTATTAGAAAACGAACTAAAAGAGTTTTGTGTCATAAAATATTTTAAATAAAAAACACTTTCTAACTATTGAATGTTCCAATGAGATTCAAAAAGCTTTTGATTATTTTATTAAATAATTTTTTTTCCTTACCCTGCAAAACAATTGAAAAGCTGAAAAACGGCAGTTCACAATGATCCGCTAAAACGATAATCAACTTGTTGCAACGCTCATAAATATTTATGCAAATACTATTTTTGCGAGCTCTATGTGTTTAATTTATAAAGCGCATTGTCGACGTTTTCATAAGAGAAATTGGATGGAAGTTAATAAAATATTGAATGTTTATAAATGACCTGAGAACTTGAACCTACAAGTTAGACATTAAACAAACAGCCAAGCTATAATATCCAACTTCAGCCAATTTCTTGACAAGCACTAAATTATTTTATTCCTAGGTGGAAAAATGACAATGAAAAACAACGCGAAAAAAAAGAAGAAGAAGCGCATTAATTTAAATGGCCTGGAGATTTGTTCATGAGTGATGTCAGGAAACAGAAGTAATTATAATGGTTTTAAACCATAAAGACTTCGTGGCATGACTAATTAGCAAGATCTAGTTGTAATTTTATAAATCACAGATTAACATTTATAAATGAGATACAAAAAAGAAAAAAGTTTTGCTTATGAATTTCTTGATGTTGAAAACGTTTTAATGAAAAAATAAATTAAAAGATGAGAAATTATCTGTAAGAAAGGAACTTTATAAGACATGTTCGTGTCAAAAAATTAATTTTCATGAAAAACTCGTTACTCTAAAGCAGAATAAAATGGAAAGAGAACGAGAACGAGAAAGAAAGAGATAGAGAGAAAAAAAATAGAAAAATAAAAATCAATGTTAACCCAAACCAGACAGAAAACTTAAAACATTTACATGGGATATTTATCGGCTACGAAAACCAGACACAGAGATTGTGGTTTAGTGTAGAATTTAAAGATTTTTTTTTCTTCGATAGCAGAAGAATTAAGAAAAAAAACTTTTAATATCTCAATTCAAAAACTTTTCTTCTTCAAATTATTCCACCCACAAACAAGCCACCAAGAGAATTTTCTCTAACTTCCTTCCATCATTTACGTGATTCTTCTGTTCTCTTCAGACGACGAGTTGAATTGAAATAAAATTAAAAAAGTTTCAACGGAGTATTTCCCATACATACTGAAGCAAACACAAACTTAAAAATTGCTAGATATTATTTTAATTATAGTGGAAACGTCATGTAACGATGGCTGAAGGGACAACGCGGTATCGAAAAAATCTTGTATCGAGTAAATAATCGGTGCAATTAATTTTGAAGAGAGATTGAATTTGCTGCAGTAAGAGCGTGAAAAAGATTAAAATTTCCTGAAAATTTCTTTCAGTCCATAAATTATTTTCTTAAGATCTTAAATTATTTTTAAATGTTTCTTCCAAAATAATTTAAGGCATCTCGTTATACATATTAAATTACCAAAACATGTCGTGGATGCAATGATCTCCCTGTGAATTTGACACTCATGATTCTTTAATAATCGTGAACCTGACATAATTACGTATGAGGTACTGGTTTACAAGAGCAGAGCTTTATGTTCATAAGATTAGCATATCGAGTAGAAGTTGCTAATTCCGGCTGGTTTTAATACCGTTTTTTTCGGTATTTTAAAACCGTCTTGAGATTTTTCATGTGAAAATAAGAAAATGTTTTCAACTTTTAGCTTTATATCTACCTAGGCTTTAAATTCAATTTTAAATCTTGATATTTAGCTAAAAGTTGAAAACATTTTCTTATTTTCACATGAAAAATCCCAAGACGGTTTTAAGATACCGAAAAAAACGGTATTAAAACCAGCCGGAAATAGCAACTTCTAGTCTATTTCACTTCTTTGAAACAAACATCTTTTTTCTTGAAAAGCTTAGAATTCATTTCTTCATCATGACCATCAGAATAGGAAGTAACAAAGCATAGAGACCTTTTTCATTATGACATTCATTAATTTTTATTCTTTTTATCTTTAAACTGAGAGCATCATGAATAATTCAACGATATGTACGTCGGTTGTCTACAACATTTTTTTTCCTTTGCTTTTTTGAGCAACATTTCTCTTACTTTTCTTACTTCCGCAAAGAAACTATGCAGCTAGTAAGCATTCAGAGTTAAATTTCTTGAATTGTTAAATTATACAACTAGGTATTTGCAATTTCTCATTTTCTATATTTTGATGCCTTTGAATAAGTCAATTTGATTAAAAGTGTAGTTTGTGAAAAAAAGAAAAAAATGCTTAAATTTGTCGTTGATATATATGTATATCTTCCATGTATAAAAAAATGTCGATATAGAAAAATCTCTAATAGCACTACATAATATTCTGTACAAAAAAGTATGAATTATAATCAAAATTTTAACTACCTACCTGCAATGTAAATTTCAGATATTTTTTTCATAATAGAACAAAAAAAATTTCTGGCTACTTAGGTAGTATTTTTCATTTTATTACCTTCATTAGTTAGAAAAGCTTCAAGTAAGAAACAAAACTACCTATTTAATGACAACAAAAAATTCTCGCGCTTTTTACGACTACAGGCAAAGGATAATTCATCGCAGTGCTTTTGCCGCCTGACTCACAAATAATCGAATGTCTTATGCATGCAATGTCCGTTTATTAAACCAGATTCACAATCCAACAAAATTCGTAAGATAAATTAAAAAAAACACGATAAAATAAATTAAATAAAGAATATTCAGAATTTTAATGTTGGAAAGAACCAATTTGGGTTTTGATTAATATCTGCTGATTTTCATGTTCAAGTGTACGAGATCATCCGGAAGAATCTTATGGATATAACAAAAATGAGGCATTGATTTAGAAGTCAAAAATATCAAATTGGTTTTAAAATCATTTAGGTAGGTAGATATATGTTCAATTTAACATTAAATGGGCAAAATAAAAGTTGAGGTAGGTGTACAATTTCAGATTAATGTTTATTAGGTCATGGCATATTCTTATCTACATTATTATGAATAAGTTAAAATTCAATAAAAGCATGACAGACTGTTTATAAACTTTAGTTAAAAAGTTTCATTCCTACTGTTTACCAAATATAAATATTTCTGAGTAAAAATAACTTATTATCTACCATAACTACAAAAATTCGATATGCTATGTATTTGGCAAATTCATTGCATAAATTGAATGAACGTTTTTAAAAAAAGGTGTGTACTAAAGTTATTTAAATGTATCTTATTTTCAAGACCATCAAATTTGTCATCGATGTCGTTATTAGAGGATCAGAAAAGATTCAAACAAGAAATAATTGTTTTATATCAAATTGATAGTGTATTGAAACTTTCACTATGATATTTTTTATTAACATGAATTGATGTGAATTTAGGTAAAGTTATTAAAAGAAAAAATTACGTTACTGAAAAAATATAACGACATTCGCTTATTCAAATTATTTCACAATGAACAACCAACTTCACTCTATAAAAAGAATTTACAGTCGATTCGCTATAAGTGGAAGCTCTATAAGAAGAGAAGCTCTATAAACGGCTCCCACTTCAGCTTCCAATTATACTATAAACAAGAATGAAAGTTAATAAAAGAGACACCAGAAGTGCATCAACCTTTCTGTAATGAAACGCTTGTTTTCGCTTTTTCACTGATTTATTTTCGTTTTGGAGGTTATATGTTGAGTGTTTGCAAAACGACGGAAATTAAAGCACTTCACGAAAATAAAGCACATGTGCTTTATATTTTTAATATAAAGCACGTGGGTCCAGTTCCGCAAAAGACGGTAGTACGTCGACTGTAAAAATGTTGTGTGCTAAGCAAAAATCGATATTCATAAACTTTAAATCAGTTAAATGTCTGTCAAATGTATTCTCGAGATTACTAAGTACACAAACTGTACAAAATGTAATCAATTTAAACAATAACAAATACGAATCAGATGATTACTCAAATCTGACACCGAAAATCATGAGTTATCTCGGTCGGAATATTTATCTTCAGAAAAATCATCCGCTCTCAATGATGAGACAGAAGATAATAAAATATTTCTACCAAGAATATTCAAATCCTAAAGGAACACCCCTCTTCAGCGTTTATGATCGACTGAGTCCTGTAGTATCAACGAAACAGAACTTTGATTATTTGTTAATTCCTCCAAATCATCCCAGCAGAGCAAAGAGTGACTGCTATTACATAAACAGAGAATATATGTTAAGAGGCCATTGTACAGCTCACCAACTTGATCTTCTAAGATCTGGACTGGATAATTTCTTGATTGTTGGAGATGTATATCGAAGAGATGAAATCGATTCAACGCATTTTCCAGTATTCCATCAGGTAAACAATTTTACATGATTTTTTGTTGTTATTTTCAACATTTAATTGAAGGTTGATGCGGTTCGAGTCGTTCATAATGATAAATTGTTTAAAAACAATCCTGATTTGGAGATTTTTGAGAAAGAATTTGTCAACAACGATATTGCTGCGATTGGATCATCAGATAAATGCATAGATCAAGTGAAACAACCTTGTCACACTGTTGAAGCTGTAAAGCTTATTGAACATGAAATGAAAAATGTTCTTGAAGGTATGGTGAAAGCGATTTTTGGCAAAACGTTAAAACATCGATGGGTAGGTCTGATTAATTATTTAGTATCATTTCCTGAATGCATTATTACCTCAGGTCGATGCATTTTTTCCATTCACACAACCTTCCTGGGAACTAGAAATATTTCATAAGGGAAAATGGGTGGAAATACTTGGTGCCGGTGTAATGAGAAATCAAATTCTTAAGAGAGCTGGAGTTGATAATTCTATTGGATATGCCTTCGGTCTTGGATTGGAACGTCTCGCAATGATTCTTTATGAGATTCCTGATATCCGATTGTTTTGGAGCAAAGATAGTGGATTTTTAAATCAATTCGATGAAAGCGATTTAAAGAAAATTTTCAAATACAAACCAGTGTCGCAATATCCTCAATGCGCAAATGATATATCGTTTTGGTTACCAACCGAACTTCCAATTGAAGCATTTTCTCCCAATGATTTCTACGATTTGGTACGAAACATCGCTGGGGATATAGCAGAACAAGTGACTTTATATGATAAATTCACTCATCCTAAGACTGGCCGAAACAGTTTATGTTTCAGGATTGTCTACCGTCATATGGAACGTACTTTGACCCAGAAAGAAGTAAATGAAATTCATTCTAATATAGGAAAATCAATTGTTGACAAATATGGGGTTACAATAAGATAAAAAAATAAAAAAAACTTAAATTAAATTGTTAGACTTACATGTTGAAAGATTTTTTAATTTCAATGTTGTTTTTAGTCAATTTAATCTTTGATTGTTTAACCACATTCATCGTAAGTATGTAAAAATTGCTTATTCGGAAATAACATAATTTCCACTACACATCATATTAATATGATTTTATGAACATAAAATATTTTCATGACTTTGTACTGACAATTTTTTTTGCTTTTCTGTAAGTAATATTCGATGTTGAACTCATTTATTATGTGGGTGTGACATTTTGATTTTCCTACAAAAAAATACGCAAGAAAAATAATTAATTTGCTGACCTTACGGAAAATTTCAAAATCAGTGTAAGAAATTAATATATCGCTTTGACTGTTATTCACATCTTCAACCTCTTAAACCCCTTCAACCCCTTCAAGCACTTTTCAATGATTGCCATTCATTTCACGTTTTTTTTTCTGATCAAACTTTTGGATCGTATGAAGAATTAATTATTAACTTTACTTTATTTACATCTCAAAGTTTTTTTTAATATTCCTTAGAAGATGATTTTTGTAGATCTTTCTTTTTATTTCATTTTTTTGACAGTGATGGTGAAGGCATCTTGAATGAATCTTTAGTTCGACGAATTAATTAAATTAATTAATGAGAAGTGAAATCGAACTGTTATAGATGAGAGCAAAAGACTCAATGTACAATGTCGAAGCATTTCTATTAATAAATTATGAACAAATCATGATGTTTTTATAAATTAGTTAATTACAAAAATTATAGAATTTCTTATGGCAAAAGATTTTTAACATTAACTTATGATATAAATTTTTAAATAAATTTTATGAAAATGAAGATATTTAATAGTCTAAGTATTGAAATTATATATTCAAAGGAATAATATAAGTATCACGAACTTTTCATATCATCACACGCTTAATTTTCATGAATTCAACTCTGGTACCAAAGAAAATTTCTTTTTCTTCTCTCTTTTTCCTTCAACATCCCATCATCAAAAGCTTTATAAGGAGCTGTCGATGATGATTTTTTTCAGTTCCTTTCGAAACGCAAAGTAAAAATATCATAGAAAAGTGAATTGATCTGTTGAAAATTAAACTTGAAATTTTGAAGAAAGAATAAAAAAATGGAATAATTAATTTTTATAGGTGGATATAAAAATCAGTGGTCAAAAGCATTTTTTGATTTTACATAAAATAATTATTATCAACATGAAATCTATTCCATTTGCATTTTTACTTATTTTCTGTGAGTATTGCAAAATGGTAAATGAAACTGATTTTATTAATTTATTGTTGTGAAAAAAAAATAGGTGTCGCAATATGGGAGTTGGGATCATCAAATCCCGTTGCAATGAGCTGTGACAGTTGCGGATCTGAATGTGCAAGAGCTTGTGGTACACGACATTTCAGAAGTTGCTGTTTTAAGTTAGTAGTTTTATCTTAATCAAAAAACCCAAGCTTAATTTTTTTTAATTTAATTTAATTTAGTTATGTAAGAAAACGATCTTTATCATTCCATCCTTATTCGTTAAACAAGCTTCGATATAACATCCTTTTTCACTTATATCCCAACAGCGGAGAAATGGTGAGACTTTTTTTAGAAATCAATGTTCATAACAATATTTAAATATCTTTCGTGTCCAAGATGGATAAAAAACATAGCACAGTGGAACAGGAACATGAATCTCGCAAAGATGATGCCTCTTCATCTCTCAATCAAATTGAAAAGAATCGAAATCTTAACAAAAACTTTTTTAAACCTTGGAAAGAAAATTCATTAGGAGATTATTCCTTTATAAGCACAGATTAAGATATTATCAAAAACCAGAGCAATTGATGTATGATGTTTGATTTTCAGCATGAAATTCAATGATGTTTAACTAAAACTTTCCTTGTTGCATCACGCTAATTTCCATTTTGTTTTGTTGCTAACGGCTGGAGCAACTTCTGTCACCTAAAGTGGTATTTACTGTGATGTAAACTTTGTAATTAAATGTGACTGAAACTTATGCTCAGAAATGTAATTTTTGGAGAATATTTATGAAAATAAATAATATGTTTAAAACGATATTTAAGATTCTGATATACCTAATTTTCCATTTATTTTCTTTTTATGCATTTTTTGTTCACAATATTTTTTTCTAGTCAATTTGAATTTGTAAATAGAGCAAAAAAGTTTGAACATCAATTTAGGATGCGAATAAAATTATAAAGAGTTTCACATTTTGAACTAAAGTTTATTATCGTGGGGTTTGCATTATGCAATGATCCGAAAGAAAATCAAATTATCAATTAAAATATTTAATTCGAATGATTATCTTAAAGAAACAAAACTTACATATTTATTTACATTCACAATATTAAAAAAAATATTAAAAGCAATATTAAAAACACCAAGTTGTGTGAATTAGGAAACTAATGACTTGGGAAATGAACACTTATTGCAATCATAAATTTTTACTACGTCAATCAGAATGTTTTTCAAAGTTTAAATAAAACTACAGATGATTTGTTGCATGAACTTTCCTTAGTGTCCTTATAAATCCTTATTTCGATACATCTACATATGTATGGATATTCCAATTTTATTTGGATATTAAGTGTCATATGAAATTATTTTATTTGCATTTATTTATTTTTCTTTCGCATTTGCATATAATTAGGTATTTTCTATCAAGATGATATTAATCTTCTTGTTTCCTTTACATAAGTTTTTAATAAACAAAAACATACTCATAAAATTCTTTATAACCAAATAAATTTTCATTTTCTCAGTGGTAGCCGACGAATTTCAGCGTTAATCTAGAGCATTCACCATCAAAGTTCATTTCAATTATGCTACATAATGTCTGCTTTTAATTTTATTCCAAGCTCTAGTTTTCTTCCTTCAATTAATTCTCGTCTCTCATGTTTACTACAAAATCATTGTTTGAAGAATTTTCTAAAGATCGACTCTTTTTGTGTACTAGCAATTGTTTTATAAACATTTTCACATTTGACACTTTTAAGAACTAAGCACATTAATAAATAAAATAATGATAGCTTTTATATTTTTACTTTATAAATTTATGAAACATTTCCTCTATCGTCAAAAAACTTAGATTTTTTTTTGTTTTAAAATATCTAATTCGTATCAAATCATATTCTTTCTCATACTTATTTATATTAGTTAAATTACAATTAAGTGTTGTGTGAATAGTATTTAGTTTAAAGTTACCTATATCTCGTTACGAGAGTCATGAATTTACTTTGAAATGTAGATATATAATTTAACTAAAACGTTAATTTTTCAATGTTATCATAATTATGTATTTTTTAAAAAGAAAATTTGATAAAAGTTAATTTAATTTATTTTTAATTTTCGCGTGCGCCAGCAACGTTACTAATTTTTTATGTGAGTCACCTACAATCCAACCATGTTGTTCAGGTTGTTGGGGCAAAGCTGAATCTTCATTGTCACCATCTGCAGTATCACCTTGTTCTTGGTCACTTTCTGATGATGAAGATGACCAGTAATAAAGTTTTTCTGAACTGTTTCGCTTCGTTCTATTGCACGCACTTTGTGATGGATCTAATATGTCGTGCGTTATGGCAGATGCGAAGGTAGTAGATGACACATCTACATGTTTGAGATCATTTGGGATGAGCTTTAGCTCTTTAAGCGTTGTCATATCGCATGTATTGCAACTTTTTGATAAGGTCATCATTGACTTTTTAGTTTTGAATGAAACAGTTTTATGGTCGTTTTCCTCATCTTTTTCATTTTCCGACAATGAACTCTCATTTAAAGTTGAAGTTTTTGATTTTGTATTCAAATTAAGTTCAAAATCACTATCTGAATCATAAGCAATGTTTTTAATTCTATTTCGAGGCCGCTTTCGATGTTTATGAATTTTTTTCTTATGACTGCTAAAATTATTTGAAAGATTTACAAATTTCTTCTGATTTTTATATGATTTTTCTGACTCTGCCTTCGATATCATTGACTTGGATTTTATTTCAAAAGTTTTATTTTCCAATGGGAAGCTTCTTAAGGTTTCTAAATTAATTTTCCTTAGCGTTTCCTTGGTAGGTTTGACTATAAGTTTGGATCTTGTTCGATCATCAAACGATGTTGTTGATGGTACGAAGCAACTCATTCGACGTTTTTTGATCGAAACTCCAGCCTTGATTGGTTTTACATTCTTTGTAGCAGTGAACGTCTCTTCATCTGATTTGTGACCTTCAGCTTCTTTAATTCCTTTCTTCTTCTTTATAGGAAACGATCTATCACTTTGATTAGTTTCATTACTCAATTCAATTTGAGCTGTTTTCTTTTTTTCTATTTTTTCTCTTAGAGAGATCTGATGACCAGACTGTAAAGGTTTTTTATCGACATGAGCCTCATATATTTTCGAGGAGGAACATTTAATGTCATTTTTGAATAAACTTTCGTCAATAAGATTGTCTTCAAATTTCTTGTAATGTTCTTCCGTTTTTGATAGCTTTCGTTTTTTAATTGATTCGCGTTTTTCAATCTCATTGATAATGCTGATGATGTCTGCAGTGTCATGAAGTTCTTCATATTCATCGGAACTCCATGTTTCAGCAAATGTTTTTGTTTTTATTGCACATCTTCTACGAGATTTTCGCTTACCAATAGTGCTATCGAAATCCTCGGCAACAGAATCATGAAATAAATCAGATTCAATTCCATCTTTTACTTTAGTCTTCTTTCCTTCTTTTTTCAAATTACAATTAAATAATTTCCCAGGATAATAATTGTTATTATAAGATTGTGAAGCGGTTTCAAGCATATTATTTGAGTTCGACGAGTTTGGTGAGAAAGTTTCACTTGCAGATTTCAGCAAAGTTTTAGGTGATGGGCAAGTCAAAACTTTATCATCAATTTCCGCAGAATTTTTCAAATGGTCAAAAATCTCATCTAAGCTATTTTTAATACCTGGCATGTTTTTTGGTGCATCAGCTTGTGGAATTTTCAGTTTACTGCGATCACGATGTTTCTTAAATATTTTGTCCATGATCAGTGATTTTGTGGGAATACTAACTGCAGTGTCTTTGGATTTGTTGATTCTGATAGGAAATTTCTTTGGATAACGCTCTTTTATTGCATTAGCGAATGGAACATTGTCAATATTGTCACCTTCCCATTCAATATCAGGATCATGCTTAAGATCCCAAGACGTGCTTGATGATTCAATTTCAGAATCAAGAAATGTAGCAGTTGAAAAATTTGACTTTGGTGTATACGGTTTACAATTTTCAAACGCATTGACTTCTAAAGTGTTGAATAAACTGTCGAAAAGCTTATCTCTGTCTTTTGGTGTCATATCTTCTGGTTTCTTTTCCATTTTAAACTCATAATAAAGCTTATCGTCATTCGCATCCAACATTGACTCGACAGTTGCTTGCTTCGGTTTGATGACAGGTTTTTCAACAATTGATGACTCTTGATTATTTATTTTAATTTCTTGCTCTTCTTCTTCCTTTACAGGAGTGTCTAAAATATTATCAAAAGTTTTCAAAGCACCTTTGGTTCGAAAAACTTTTGCATCATCTAATGAAGGACTGTGTGATTCTGATACTTCAGCATTCTCATACACGTCCGATTTTTCTATAGTTTTCTCCTTTAACCTGCTCATACCTCGATACTTTCTTTGAACTTTCATGATATGTGTACTTGTCTTACAATGTTTTTTAAGAACTGTTTCGTTACGGAATGTTCGTTTACAAATAGTACAACTTGGTAAAATTTGATTGTTAGCAATTTCATTTTCATGAAAACTTTTTTCAGTTTCAGAATCAATTTGAAACTCAGAACTGTTTATGATGTTGTTCACAATATCATTGATTTTGTCACTGTGATCGTTGTCTAAATCGTCGTTGAAGAAAGAATCTTCATTAATAGTGAAGTTATCATTTTCTTTCTTTATTTTACATTCAGTTAATGGTGCAACGACAGGTAATGAAATTGATTTTTTCTGTTCTTCCTCCACATGATTTATTTTGTTTGTAGAAAGCTTTTCTTTAATTTTTTTCGATGCCTTTTTATTGTTTTTCAGACATTTTTTTCCGGTAGAGTAGTCTAAATCAGATTGCTTAACCGTTAAAGCTATTTTAAATGAGTCTGAGCTTACATTTATGCTCATTTTAGGCTCCTCAATTTGCTGATCGTTTCTCAAAATCCCTTCCGTCTTTCCAATAGTAGATAATTGTTGAAACTCGACTGATTCCTTCTCAACCATAGAATCAATTTTGACAGAATCAGAAAATATTTCAATAACAGTTGAAACTTCATTTTCCATTGGTGAAATAAGTTTCGAAAGCGGCATATCATTCTCATTGCTGGTATCTGAAGAAAATGATATATCCAATATTTTTTCAGTTTTTAACTGTTGCTTTTCACGTGTGAGCTTTTTGCGTTTTTCCAACTGCAATTTCGTGTTCACATGTTTCACACGTTGCTCATCTTTAATTTCTTCAAGCGGTGTATTTTTCGTCTTGTTATTCTTTGTTGGAGATTTTTTTTCTTGTATTTTTGATATTTTTTTGGATTCATTAGTTGATAGATATTGATTTGCATGCTCTTTTATTTGGTTCTCATCAGAAGTTATATCAGTAGTTGCTAGAGAAACTTTTTTTACGTTTTGGTTTCTCATACGAGACTTACGCGTAGAAACAGAAGGTTTAATAAATTTTAAAGACGATATTTTTTCGTTGACATTTGGTTCAGAATTACAAACAATTGGTTTTATAGTTTCATTCTTAACAATTTCCTCTATTGATGGATTATCGTCAACTTCGTTTTTGTTGGTTATTGCTGCTATAACATGATTATTAGTAGAATTAATAGTTCTTGATTTGTTACCTCGAGTTCTGCTTGGAACTTTCAAAGCGTTTATGTCAGTTTTTTCATTCTCACTCGATAAAAAAATTTCACTTTTCACATTAGTCCCACTAGAACCATAGCATAGTAAAGTGTTGGATTTTCTTGCATTGTTTGACTCATCTTTTCCAAAAACTTGTTCACTTGAAGACAGCAATTCATAGAATCCATTTTGTTGTGAATTATTTGTGAGTCTAATTTTACGATTTGTGTTCTTAAGAGTTGATAAGTTAATGATCGGATCAACTACAACAGATAAACGACGACATCTAATTCGATTCGTTGTTTTAATGACATCAGCAATATTGTCAAGATCAACTACTGGAGAACTTTTTGACATTCCTGATTGCACTTCAGAATTTTGCTTAACTGGTCCATAGTTCTTGACAGTAGGTTTTCGTAGACTAATTTTTCTACGTGAAGGTTTACGTTTTACTGCTTTTTTAGAGTACTTTTTATGGAGCACTTTACGACCTGAGACTGTTTTCGTAGCATTATGAGCTTTATTAAGAATTTGCAGGATGCGATTTTTCTGTTCTTCAAAAGCTCTCCGCTCTTGTTCAGAAATCTTAATTTTATTGACAGTTATTACTTGGTGCTGATCTAATATTTCTTTAAGATTTGGAATTTTAACTTTTGGTATACTGATTTTAAATGACTGTTCTTCTAAAAGTGGTTCAAGCACTAATGAATTATTTTCCTTTAAATTTTCTGAAATATTCTTTGATGCTTCCTCTTTACTTTTTTCAATTAAGTTATTTTCAGAATACGATTTGTTAAAAACGATTTCTTTCATAATTTGATTTTCTATTCCATCTTTTTTATCTTCTTCTGTCTTGCTGTCGTATTCATTTATTGATTTTGCAATTTCAACTTTCGATTCTCTTTCATTTGGCACTTTTAATTCATCATTAACAGATCTTACAGCAGAAGGATTCATTCCTGGTGAAATTTCAGGAATTATTTTACTTTCAGTTGAATTGGTTTCTTTAAAGATTTTATTGATTTCTTTTGTAGTATTTTCAATTGTAGCTTTTCTCTTTTTAAGACTCAAGTCAATAACTTCATCTTGAACTGGAATGTCGAAAACAGGACTTTTCAAAAGTGAAGCTAATTGAGAATTGTTATCAACCAGTTTAAGATCAATTGCTTTTAATGAGCTACATGGTGATACACACGATAGCTGATCAGATGGGGGTGCTTCAGTAGAAATGCTAGTTTCAAAGAAGTTTACACCAAGTTTTTCCTGAATTTTGCATGTAAGCATGGCAATGCAGTCGTTTAACTTCTTTTTCTTTTTAGGCACAATAGGGTTTGAGGTTGGGCTGATTAGAGATGAACTTGATGTACTGCTAAGCGAAAAATCACCACTACATTTTTCAAGGGTGCCAAGGGTAAGTGGAATATGTGGAAGAATTTTAACTTCTTCATTTGATGCATTTTTTTCGACCAGGTTATCGCTTTGAACTTTCTTTACAATTTCATAATTATTTTCTTCACTATTTGACACTTCAGTTATGTTTCTTTTATCATTTTTTGAAACACTATCATTTTTTGAAATACACTGAGATTTTTTTGATATTTTTGAAGGTGATCTTAACGAGTTTTTCAGTGATGCATTTTTAGTTCCATGCGGTATTTCCAACATTTTTACGTCAATTTTTTGTGGAGCTGATGGCGTCGTTTTACTTACACGGAAAAATTTTTTTATATTCATTCCTTCACTGTACCTTCCATTCATCGATTTATTTTCACAGATTACAAATTCACCTTTATTAACTATATTTGATATATGAGCTGTTGGTTTCACATCGTTTTTTGGTGTGGGTGGATTTGAGATTGAATGTGTCGAATTTTCACCTAAAAAATGTTATATAAACAATATGATTAAGAGCAGTCATTTAAATTAAAATAAAAATCACCTTCAGTATTGTCTTTTGTCGATGGACTAGATGTCGATTTCTTTTGATCAAAAGATGTTTTTGACTTTTTTGTTGACTTACGATTTTTTCTCCGAGATTTTCTGTATTTACTTCTACGTTTGGCTTGCAACCATGCTCTATCTTCAATACAATCGAGAATGTGTCGATTGATATCAATATCACTTGAGTATTTTATAGTTTTTAGGCATTTTGAACATACTTTTTCTTTCTGGTCCGCAAAATATTTAGAACTAAAATCAGACGATGCTGAGGCTTCATTGGTTTCATTCGACTTACTGTCACTGTTTACAGAGAGACTTCTAGCAAATCCACTTGCTCGAAATGCCTTCTTTGGAAGAAAAAGATTTTTGTAAAGCTTCAACTCAAGATTTTCTCGACCAACAATTTCATAATGAGCTGACACAACATATGGATGTTCTGAATTTTTATGGTCATTTAAGCTTTTCATGAGATCAAATTTTAAACCACAATCAATACATATGTAGCATCTTGGTCGTGCCCATTCACCACTTAATGTTGGTATTGATGATACACTTGTATCATTTTTGACTAAATTGAAAGTTTTCAAAAGCTCAGTTTTTTGTTCATTAGATTCATTTCTGACGACATTGATATCAACACTCTCAGCAGTTTGTTCAAATTCTTCTGCTTCAATTTTTATGATAGTTTGTTCCAACTGTTCTATATTTATTTCAGGTGTAAGTCGGTTATCTAAAATACGATTCAGTTGCTCAATGTTTTGAGTTTTGATCATACGTGTTGATAAACGGTCTTTCAAACCATTATCAAATACACTTGATGAGTCATTCTGATTATTTAAGTTTTCATATCGTGACCGCATACTTAATTGTGTCCACATATCCAGTTGCGATAAATCTTTCAAGCCCGTTGTTATTTGTTTTACTTTCTTCACAATTTTACCACCTTCATTAACGTATTTATATTTTTTTATAAGATCCCACTTCCATTTCCAAGAGTTTTTGGTAACTTGTCTTTTATTTTTATTAGGATTCGAGTCACCGAAACCGTATTGTTCTGCAGTTAATAATGCAGGAAAAGGAGTTGATAATTTAAAGTTTGTTGCTTCATAGATTTCTTTGTCATGAACTGTAGAATCTTTTGCACTGGATGTAATAGATTGTTCTGATATTTGATCAAATACTGGTCGATTCAATAATTGATCACTCTTGCCATCAACGAAATAATTCAAATTCAACCTAATATTGTTGCTGATATTTTTATAGAAATCTTCATCAAACTCCACATTTACAGTCTCATTTTTCTGTGCATTTTCAACTGTTTCAAAATTATTATGTAAAATTAGATTGATAAATTTTGTAGTTTTTGTTCTTTGAATTCTGTTGGATGGTGATGGATTTGTTGTAATTTTAGATTCACTCGATGTATTTTGCTTTAACTTAACAGGTTTTTTAACACTTGAGGAACGACTGTGCGATGTATTCACTCTAGAAAGTATTGGTGTTTCTTTCAGCTTCTGACGAGTCAAAGGTATTGTGTATTCCTCTTCAGCAACCTTGACACTACTGATGCTACTTGCTCTACTACTGCTGTCTGAATTTTTTATTTTGTTTCCCTTGTCGTTAACACAAACCATTTTACTATGCTTTTTCAGTTTATTCTTATCAAACTTCTGAAGAATGGCATTTACAGGCAGTGTTTTAGAATGGTTTGATACAGCAGTAGAAAAAATTTCCTCTTTGTCTGATAATGTATGAAATTTTCTTTCATCATTGAACTTTAAAGAATGTAATTTTTTTGAAGTTTTGTGCTTATCATCAGATTTTCCTTTTAATCTTCTCAATAGTTTACTTTTACCACCTATTTTACAATCTTTCTTATGGCTCGCTAATGAAACTTTATCATGAGTCCTTATTCTGCATTTGCAGCCAAAATACACATCCTTATGTGATGTTAAAAGATGTTGAAAAAGAAAGTCCAGATTATCTGTTTTAAATATTTTCTTGTTGCAATGAAAACAGCCAGGAAAGGGAGAATTTTCCGATATTGAATTATTTTTTGTTATTCGTTCACTTTTCCTACTCCCTTTTCCCTTATATAAAATTGTCTTATGATCACGTTCTACATGATTTTCTCGATCTATTTTACTTGAAAACGTTTTATCACAATATAAACAAAGACTTTTGTCATTATTTATTGAAATTTTGCTGCTAACTTCCATGATATTTGATTTATTATTTCAAATATCTATATTCAGACATTTTTATTTTCTTGTCAAATATTTCTGAACGCCTGCGCTGAGCGTTTTGAATTATTGAACGTTTAAACAGTGGACTCTTCGTATGACGATGGCAGAAGGTGTCCCATACTATCGAATAAATATTCGGTGCAATTATTTTTGAAGTGAAACTGACAGCATCGCACAATTTTGAATTTTCGTACTATGGAGAGAGGGTTATATCAAGAGTTTACTGTATTTATTTTGAATCTAGATAGTTTTTTCAAAATGTGTGATTTTTAAATGATTAATACAATAAAATTGTATCATAAATCATCAATAGTGTCATTTACAAATACTTTGGGAGAAAGCGAATGTTTTTTGTTTCCAATTGATTAAATTGTGTTCAATATATAGTACATGACAATGATGTTATTGTTTAGAAACACATAAAAAATTTCTTACCGTGCATGCAGCAGCTGAAAGTGGATGTATAGAATTTTTTTATGTGTTTCACAATGTTTAACAAATTTAACGTAGTTGACTTATTTGAGTCATCGTAGTTGAACACCTTCCTTATTCAACTACCTTTTTATTTTGCTTAAGTATCCCTTTGGTACTTAGGTCTGAAATACATTCATATGAGGAGCCTCGTCTCCGATTATTAAATGAAATAAAGTTTTATTTACTACGTTAACTATCATCAAGATTATTATCTTTGACATTGTCTTGTCTTCAAAGTTAAGTTTTGTTTAAATATTTTCTCAGGTAAGGTTTTTAAGGAATCTTCCTTATCATGACTTTTTCAATTCATAAGATTTTTTAGACAATATATAATATATAAATATGCCTGGTTTACCACCACCACCACCACCAATGATGGCCCCAGTTGAAAAAGCATTTGTATTGCCTGCTTCTGGCAGTGGCGAAATGAGAAATGCTTTATTAGGTCAAATTCAGAAAGGTCAAAACTGTCGATCAAAGTAGTCCAATTGTAGCTGGTAGAGTTGCTGGTAGAGAAGCTCCAGTTCTTTCACCATTGAGGTCAAGAACAACAGAACCTTTATCCAACAAATCATCACCAGACTCTCCTAATTCATCACCTGTTAAACCTCCAGGTGGATTTGCAAATCTTTCAGACGAACTTCAATTCAAGTTAACATTAAAGAAAAATAAAAACTCACCAGTGAAGGAATCAAACATTTCACAAGAGATAAAAGAGGTCAGTAGCTTCATTGTCATGCACAACGTGATGATGTCAAAAATAATTTCACAATGGAATCCATGCTATGGTCTTTTTAAATTATTCTTGTAATATAAAATTTATTTTTAGACAACGCCTCCAGCATCGTCCAATTCTTTTGTGAACGAAATAAAACCGATACAAAGGTAGGTAAATAGAAAGAAAGAATAAAAAAATACGATTCTATGTTTTTTGCTTCATTGCAGTGTCATTACTGATCATCATTCTCCATCACCTAGTATATCAGATGCTATTGTAAACAAATCATCTTTATTTAATAAAACATCAGCCGCTTCTTCACCGATTATTCTTAATCCCTCTAAATTCATCAATCATGGAAAGCCAAATTTGGCACCAAAACCTCCTCCTTAGCTTAAATTATTAGCTAGTGACATTAGTATCTTAAATGATGTTAGTAAAAGGAAAAGTGTTGTGCGACATCAATCAATGAAGTCGCCAAGGTACATATTTTTTGCATACTACTTTTACATATTTAATTAAAAATATTAATTTTAAAACGATATTTTTACTTTCTGATATTTTTTAAGATCCCCTCGAGTTGGAGCTTCACCTTCTGATAATCACTTCGGCACAATGAGGATGAATGTTAACAATCAACAAAAGATTCAAGATGCGCTGAATTTTCAAACGCCAATGATAAAGACTGGTGCACAGCGACCAATAAATAAGCCATCACCACCACCAGTTCCCAATCGTCAGCCTGGCACAAATTTGACAAATAATCATGAAAAATCAACATACGCTTTGAACTTGTCGTCAAATGAACATAACTTGTCAGTACCAAGACGATTGCCTAGTTCGGGTTCTTCAAATAAAATAACATTAGCAACTTTGAGCGTAGTATTGATGTGTCAGTTTCAACAGCACCACCTCTTCCTCCACATAGAGTAAGTTCACAAAATCACTTACGAAGTCAAATGTCGCTTGTGGTAATAGCAAATACTCAAGCACCACCTGACGTTTCACGGAGACATTCATCAATGAGAAACAGTATTGAAAACGGTGCTAATGGAAAATATCAAAATTCAAACCAATCAATAACGAGATTAGTAATAGATCTTGAAGCAAGATATTCTTTTCTTTTTCACAATGTGTCGGGGTTTCCATCGCCAAGGCCATTTATAAATGTTGAAAAATCTTATCCTTCGAGAGCTGTTTATCAGACAAGCAAATGGAATATAATTCTAAAGTGATACTTAACATTGTTTGAGGAGGATGCAATATAGTATTTTACATTATTAATCTTTTAATCTCTTTACGCAATAAAACACAATTAAGATTTACCCCATGTTTGTCTTATCAGCTTATCAGCTTTTCCTATTATTGATATTTTTTTTCCAAGTTCTTATATCTTAAATTCGCTAAATTTCTTTCTAATTAATTGTTCGAAGCTTTTTTTCTTAGAAAGAAAAAAAAAGTTCTTATGATTTTCTTATCTAAGCAATCAAAACATGATTTATCCATTAATGTTCAAGGGAGCATACCTATATATGTTTTATCATAATTTACCAAAGGCTTAAAAATACTCGCAATTTAATTTTTTATCTCCTTCAATTTTATTATTTATAAAGAAATGTGTAGCAATCGATTATCAGAAAAAACCTTTTGAAAAATTAATTCATATGTAATCAGATAACAAAATGTCAAAACACTTAATTACCTAATCTGTGAAATCAAGACGTTCTTTTTTCGAATTAAGCTTACTGAAAATTGTAATAAAGTCAAAACGACAAATGATTATATAAAATGGAAGAATCTAATAAGAGATATTGAAATAAATATATTTTGTATTGTTTTTTTCTTTTCATTTTTGTAAGAGTATTTGCTTTTTATGCACCACATATTTTAATTCGTAATAATATTCACTGGATATTTTACATTTTGTTTTCTTTTTAGAAATAAGATGATGTTTTCTAACTTTGCATTTGTGTAAAAATTTCAAGTAGATAGATAGGTATGTATATAATCATACTTAAGTGTCATTTTGATACTGAGTTTTCAAACGTTTCTTTTGTTGCATGTCGTTCAATGTTTGCTCAATTGAACGAGTATCTTTTTTCAATTCAGTAGATACCACACCATAGTTTCTGTTGAGATCTGGATCCTAAAGTTTCATATTCGAGATGAATAAGTTTTGTTTTTTATTTTGATTGTTCTCATTACTCTCTATCTTCTGGATGATCTGATGATGAAGCAATTGGAATCACAGCTTAGGGAGATTCTTTTTTTTTCTTGTAGTTTAATTCAATCTCTTTGTTCCACTTCGTGTAATCTCGTGTCGCAGTATAACGAGCTTTTGGAATCTGCTGTTGTCTCAATGATAACTGACTTGAAAATTTTCTCTGTTGCCTCAAACTGTATTGTAGTTTTTATCTTTCAAAAAGTTTATTCTGAATCTTATCTTTGAAATCGTTATTAACTGTGCACTCTTTGTCGCTCCTGATATCACTCTGCAAATTGTAAATGGCAAATTCAAGAAATTAAAATTGTATCATTGTTGATAATCACATACCTGGTTACGTTGTGTTTCTTGCTGTGCTTTGGGTGTTTGTTGTGTTGTCAGGGGTGCCAACTTTTGATGTAGGTAATTCAGCTAAAGTATTTTGCACGAACTGAAAAGAAATTATTATAAAAATTTAATTTGAAGATAATTGAAAATATATTATCAAAAAACGGACTGTGAAGGATTTAAAAAGAAAACACAATTTTCATTGCGTTTAGGTCTAAAATTGAAGGAGTCACGACTAAATTTAAAGACATTGTGCAACTTTTATGCCACAATCATAATAACTAAAGCAGAGTAAGATTATCTATTTAAACTTTAAAATCAAAGAAAATGGCTTGATCCCAAATTTATAAAAGACCATATGTAGCTTAATCAAAATTCCTTTATAAATTTTCAACCTATATGTTTCAACTTTAAAAAAATTCATTGGGTGTTCATAATTATGGAAAGTAAAGAATTTTAGTTTTATTTCAACCTACAAGTTGAAAACTGAATTTGAAAATATGGCTGGTTTTTAATAAATAATTACTTTTCAATGCTCATCTGATGAGAAACAGGTTGTTGGAAATTCGTCCTTGTTCTAACAGTATCGTCCAATGATGGCTGAGCAGCTGACAATTCATTGTGAAGAATACTTTCTTCGACTTCCTCCATAATACCACCTCCTGATGTTATTATTGTTAATTCTTGTTAATATTTGATTTTTAAACATGAGTAGAGTTATATTTTTTAATTCAATTTTGAGTTGTTCTAAAATTACCGGCATTCTGAAACCTGATCCCATCCATTGTTGAAGCTGAATTTCAGTTTCAATTGCTTCTAGTCTTGGAAAGTTTTCGTCATTAATATTCATCTCAACCGATTTTTATTGTGAATTTGAGTTGACGAAACGGGTACTTGAGTTCCTGAACTTCTAATTCATGGTTTATTGTTTTAATCACAGTTCGATTTATTAAGAAAAGAGGTAGCTTCCAAACTGGAGATTCTTTAGTCGTCTGATTCAATTCTAGAGATGATATTGGTATTGCTGAAGACAAATGTCGTTATTCATTCATAATAGATTGACTGTAGTACCGTGTTTTCTGACGTGCTTTCAATTGAAAAAATATTATTATCAGTTGTTGAACTCGACCTACGTGAAATATTTGTGCTATCAATCGATCTATATGTCATCGCAGAAGTCCAATTGCTTAGATTTAAATTATTGTTTGAGGCATTATTTAACACAAAGGAGCTATTACCACAATTTCCTTCTTCCGATTGTTTGTTTTTGGTGTCTCACTTTCCGTTGATTGAATTAAAATTACTGTGTTTGAGGTTACATTTTTATGTGACGGCTTCTGTGGGGAACCTGATGGTGTGACGGCAGCTTTAATATTTTGGGGCTTTTGTGCATCGTCGGTTATCGCAGAATTAGAATTAATTGATTCAGAAACAAGTGACTGGCAAGCGTATATATGAGGATCAAACATGTTTGTTAAGGATGACGACGACGATAGATGTCCACCACTACTAGATGTCATTTCATCTCTCTAGTATAATGAAAATATTTGGAAGATTATTAACTTTCAAAAATTTTACGAAAGTTAAAAGTAACACAGCACATTCATAAATTTGAAGTAATAATTGAAGGGTGAAAACTTTAATATGTTAAATAATTTGTTTATGAAAAGGAAAATTTGCTTTTAGCTACATATGTATGTAGTGAAAATATATCTTAGTGCTTTAATACACATAATTAATTCATTTCAAATTTTAAAAATTAATATTAGTTTTTAAAAACGTA